TGGTGAGTTCTCCTCAGACCTCTTGGCAGCCTTCTGTGCGGAGCACGGCATCCGCCAGACTTTCACGCTTCCGGCCTCTCCTCAGCAGAATGGGGTTGCTGAGCGCCGCATTGGCTTAGTCATGGAGGTCGCTCGTACCTCCATGATCCATGCGGCTGCCCCCCATTTTCTGTGGCCGTTTGCGGTCCGGTACGCCGCGCATCAGCTCAACCTTTGGCCCCGTGTCTCCTTGCCGGAGACCTCGCCCACACTGCTGTGGACAGGGAAGGTTGGCGTCGCGTCGCGTTTTCGGGTCTGGGGTGCTCGTGCCTTTGTCCGCGATACCACCGCGGACAAGCTCTCCCCTCGTGCCATTCCTTGCGTCTTCCTTGGCTTTGTCCCTGACGCGCCTGGCTGGCAGTTTTACGACCGCGCCTCGCGCCGTGTCTTTGGGTCTCAGGACGTCACCTTTGACGAGTCCGCCCCCTTTTACCGCCTCTTCCCCTACCGCACTGCTCCTCGCCCCCCCCCCCGCCGCTCTTTCTCGCCCCAGGTCCTCCCCAGGTAGACCCCCTCCCCGCGCCAGGTCCTGCTCCTTCAGGTGTCTCTCAGGTAGACCCCCCTGCGCCTGCGCCTGTTGAGGTCACTGGTGACTCCGGTCCTGCTGCGAGTGGTGCTGTCCCTGGGGGTGCGGAGCTTGGGGGTGCTGAGTCTGGGGGCGCTGAGCGTGAGGAGCCTGGGGGTGCTGCGTCTGGAGGTGCTGCGTCTGGGGGTGCTGAGCCTGCATCTGCGGAGCCTGGGGGTGCTGAGTCTGGGGGTGAGTCGCCTGAGGGTTCTGCGACTGCTTTTCCGCGGTCTCCTTGGAGTAGCCGTCTTCGTCCGCGTGTGCCCCTCACCTCCCAGCAGCTGCACGACTGGTACGGTCGCCGTCAGCGTCGCGCTTCTGCACCTCAGGGCTCTACTGCTGGAGGTTCTTCTGCTGGTGTCGCTGGTCCCGGAGGTGCTCGTACTGAGGGTACTAGAGCTGCTGGGGCTGGCGGTGTTGTGACTGAGGGTACTGGCGCTGCAGAGGGTGCTGGAGCTGCTGGAGGTACTGGAGCTGCTGGAGGTGCTGGCGGTGCTGGAGCTGCTGAGGGTACTGGAGCTACTAGCGGTGCTGGAGCTGCTAAGGGTGCTGGAGCTGCTGGAGGTGCTGGAGCTGCTGGAGGTGCTGGAGCTGCTGGTGCTGGTGGCACTGCTCAGCAGCGCCTGTTCTTCGCTCCGCCGTCTCCGTCGTCTCAGCCACCACCTGACTCAGCACTTCGCCAGGTTCTCAGTCTTCCCTCGTCTACTGGTCTTCCTTTACAGCCTGGCTCACCGCTGCCTGCTCCTTCTCCGTACACAGAGCAGACTAGGGGCCTTACTGAGCGTCGTGAGCCTGCGTCGCGTCCTGTCTCACCTGTCCGTTCTGGTCGTTCCGGTCGTCGTGTTCCTCGTCAGCGGCAGCCGGCTGTCTCCGGCTCTCACCTTGTAGTTCGTCGTCCTTCCTCTCCTCCGCTGCGTGTTCCTCTGCCGTCTCCCCCTGCGTCCTCTCTGCCTGTCGTTGCTGACCCTGCGTCTGACCAGTTTCGTGCTGAGCACTCTACTGTCACGCGTCTACTTGCCACTGTTGTCACTGACCTGTCGTTTGAGTCTGCTGCTGCGTCTGCCTTAGTCGCTGAGCTTGTTGACTTTGCTGCTGCCTGTCGTCTCGACTACGCCGCCAGTCTTGTTGCTGAGTCTGAGTCTGTCTGTCCTCCGTCCGTCGGGGGTGAGTGTGCTCTTGGCACGGACGTCCTTGAGGACAGGCAGGAGGACCTTGAGTGTCTTGCAGCCGCTGCGCCTCATCTCGTATCCATGCTGCTTGCCCCTGAGGGAGATCCGGGTGCACCAGACATCCCTACCCCGCGCTCTTACGTTGAGGCGATCGCGGGTGAGTACTCCTCTCAGTGGCAGACAGCCATGGATGTAGAGATGGCATCCTGGAAGTCCACAGGCACCTACGTCGACGAGGTTCCCCCTCCTGGGGCGAACATTGTCAGTGGCATGTGGATTTTCAGGGTGAAGCGGCCGCCAGGTTCTCCGCCTGTCTTCAAGGCTCGGTACGTGGCTCGAGGCTTCAGTCGGCGAGAGGGAGTTGACTTCTTCCAGACCTTCTCCCCCACCCCGAAGATGACCACTCTTCGGGTGCTGCTGCACGTTGCCGCTCAGCGTGACTACGAGCTTCACTCTCTTGACTTCAGCACAGCCTTCTTACAGGGCAGCCTGCACGAGGAGATTTGGCTGCGCCGCCCTCCTGGCTTCACTGGGTCGTTCCCTCCTGGTACCCAGTGGAGCCTCCGGCGGCCGGTCTACGGTCTCCGCCAGGCGCCACGTGAGTGGCACGACACACTGAGGACGACACTTGCGGCTCTTGGGTTTGCTCCGTCGACTGCTGACCCGTCGTTGTTTTTGCGCACCGACACTTCTCTGCCGCCGTTCTACGTTCTCGTGTACGTCGACGACTTGGTCTTTGCCACTGCTGACACTGAGGCTCTCGCCCTGGTGAGGTCGGAGCTGCAGAAGAGACACACGTGCACAGACGTGGGTGAACTGCGCAGCTACCTTGGCTTGCAGATCATCCGGGACAGAGCACGCTGCACCATCACACTGACTCAGTCACACATGGTGCAGCAGGTCCTTCAGCGCTTCGGTTTCACCTGGTCCTCAGCACAGGCCACTCCTCTGGCTACAGGTCACTCGCTCTCAGCTCCACCTTTGGACGAGTCCGTAGAGCCGAGTGGTCCTTACCCAGAGTTAGTGGGCTGCCTCATGTACCTGATGACTTGCACTCGTCCTGACCTTGCATACCCTCTTGGCCTTCTGGCTCGCTACGTGGCTCCTGGTCGGCACCGAAAGGTGCACATGGATGCTGCCAAGAGGGTACTACGCTACTTGTGCAGTACATCGGGCATGGGGCTCGTGCTTGGAGGACGGGGTGACGTTGTCCTCACAGATCACTCGGACGCCTCTTGGGTTGACGACCAGGCTACGCAGCGGTCGTCACAGGGTTACACCTTCAGCCTTGGTTCTGGTTCAGTTTCCTGGCGTTCTACACGTTCGTCTTCAGTTCTCGGCTCCAGCTGTGAGGCAGAGATCTACGCCACAGCCATGGCTGCACAGGAGCTGCGCTGGCTCACCTACCTGCTGACCGACTTGGGAGAGAGGCCTCGTTCTCCTCCTGTTCTGTACGTCGACAACAAGGCCACCATTGCCTTGTGTCAGGAGCACAGACTGGAGCACAGAACAAAGCACATCGCTCTCCGTTACTTTCTTGCTCGAGAGCTGCAGCAGCGTGGCCAGCTTCGTCTTACCTACGTGGTCACTCGGGCCAACACTGCTGATATATTCACCAAGGCGCTTCCGCCTGGTGATCATCAGCGTTTCTGCACTTTGTTAGGCCTTGTGCCCACTCTTCCTCACTTGCTGTAGGCTTTGATTGTACCATGATTTACATGTATTCCTGCATGCTTGTTCTTGTAGGTAGATATCACTGTACTGTTGTTGTTACATATATATTTCTGCATGTGAACTGGCCTTGTGGCCTTCTTGCTTGTGCTCAGACTGCGTGGTGACGTTGTGATCCACCCTGAGCTTGCTTTGCACTTCCTGACTGGTCTTGTGACCCTCTGTTCTCCCCCACTTTGCCTATGGGGGTGTGTCAAACATATGTGTATATCTGTTATAGTTTGGTTAGGCTTAGTGGGGTACTCACTGTGGGGTACAACCCCTTAGGTTTTTTTCCTTTGTATCTTTCCCCTCGATAGTCGACACCCGATTTTGCCGTAAGACTCTAACATCCAGCACAGCTTCGTGCTGTCGCACGCAATGGCTGGCAGTCATTGTGGTGCTGCACTCGCAGCCGCACTCTTCACACACACCTACACTAGCGACACCCCGTTTGTAGATGAAGGAAGTGTGCCTAGCACAGAGGAGATGGTGGTGTTTGTGCTGAATGTTTAATCTTATGGTCATTCACTTGATGTTTAATGTTGTTTATGGCAAAACAGCTGTACCGGTAAATCAGTGTACTTGGAAAGTTATGTTAGAATAAGGAACGGGATGAATGAACTAGAAAGCAGGTGGGTACAAGTAGCAAACCTAAAAGTGTTGTACCCTATAAGAACTACCCCACTACAGCCTAAACAGACTATAGCATATAAGTTTGACACACCCCCATAGGCAAAGTGGGGGAGAACAAGAGGTCACAAGACCAGTCAAGAAAGGCAAAGCAAGCTCAGGGTGGATCACAAAGTCACCACGCAGTCTGAGCACAAGCAAATGGCCACAAGGCCAGTTCACATGCAGAGTTATATAAAGGAAAACAAACAATACAGGGAACACAACCTAGCAAGTGTAAGCATGCAGGTATATGTATATACAGTACAAGGGAGTCAAGAAGGAAGCAAGTGAGGCACAGTAGGTACAAGGCCTAGAACAGTACAGAAACGCTGATGATCACAGGGCTGAAGTGCCTTGGTGAAAACATCAGCAGTGTTGGCCTGTGAGGCCACGTAAGCGAGACGAAGCTGGCCACGCTGCTGCAACTCTCGAGCAAGGAAGTAGCGCAGAGCAATGTGCTTCGTTCTGTGCTCCAGTCTGTGCTCTTGACACAAGGCCAGCATGGCCTTGTTGTCGACGTACAGAACTGGAGGAGAACGAGGCGCCTCTCCCAAGTCGGTCAGCAGGTAGGTGAGCCAGCGAAGCTCCTGTGCAGCCATGGCCCCAGCGTAGATCTCAGCCTCACAACTGGAGCGGAGAACCGAAGACGAGCGGGTAGACCGCCAAGAGACAGAACCGGAGCCAAGGCTGAAGGTGTAACCCTGTGACGACCGCTGCGTAGCCAAGTCGTCAACCCAGGAAGCGTCTGTGTGACCAGTGAGGACAACTCGAGCCCGTCCTCCAAGCACGAGCCCCATGCCCGACGTACTGCACAAGTAGCGCAACACCCTCTTCGCAGCATCCTAGTGTTCCTTTCGGTGCCTACCGGGAGCCACGTAGCGAGCCAGAAGGCTGAGAGGGTATGCGAGGTCAGGTCGTGTGCAAGTCATCAAGTACATGAGGCAGCCCACAAGCTCTGGATACGGGCCACTCGGCTCTACGGACTCGTCCAAAGGTGGAGCTGAGAGCGAGTTACCGGTAGGCAGAGGAGTGGACTGTGGCGAGGAGTACGTGAAGCCGAAGCGCTGAAGGACCTGCTGCACCATGTGTGACTGAGTCAAGGTAATGGTGCACTGTGCTCTATCCCGGGTGATCCGCAAGCCAAGATAGCTTGTCAGCTCACCCAGGTCTGTGCACGTGTGTCTCTTCTGCAGCTCGGACTTCACGTGGGCGAGTGCCTCAGTGTCAGCAGTAGCAAAGACCAAGTCGTCTATGTACACAAGAACGTAGAAAGGCGGCAGAGTGGCGTCGGTGCGTAGAAACAGCGACGGGCCAGCAGTGGAAGGAGCAAAACCAAGAGCAGCAAGAGTCGTCCTCAGTGTGTCGTGCCACTCACGGGCTGCCTGGCGGAGACCGTAGACTGGCCGCCGGAGGCTCCACTGGGTACCAGCAGGAAACGACCCAGTGAAGCCAGGTGGGCGGCGTAGCCAGATCTCCTTGTGCAGGCTGCCCTGTAGGAAGGCTGTGCTGAAGTCAAGCGAGTGGAGCTCGAAGTCACGGTGAGCAGCTACGTGCAGCAGTACCCGAAGAGTGGTCATCTTCGGGGTAGGGGAGAAGGTCTGGAAGAAGTCAACTCCCTGTCGCTGACTGAAGCCACGTGCAACGTAACGCGCCTTGAAGACAGGCGGAGAACCCGGCGGCCGCTTCACCCTGAAGATCCACATGCCACTGACGATGTTAACCCCAGGTGGGGGAACCTCGTCGACGTAGGTGCCTGTGGACTTCCAGGAAGCCATCTCGGCGTCCATGGCTGCCTGCCACTGAGAGGAGTAGGGACCCTCTATCGCCTCTGCGTAAGAGCGCGGGGTCGGGATGTCTGGTGCATCCGGGTCTCCCTCAGGGGCAAGCAGCATGGACACGAGATGAGGTACAACAGCGGCAAAGCACTCAAATTCCTCCTGTCTGTCCTCAAGAACGTCCGTGCCAAGAGCACACTCACCCCCGACGGATGGAGGACAGACAGACGTAGACGCAGACTCAGCAACAAGACTAGTGGCGTAGTCTAGGCGACAGGCTGCAACAAAGTCAACAAGCTCAGCAACGAGAGCAGACGCAGCAGTGGACTCAAACAGAGGGTCAGTGACAGCAGTGGCCAGGAAGCGCGTGACAGTAGGACTAGCAGCACGAAGGGAGTCAGACTCCAGGTCTGGACCGTCAGGAAGAGAGGACGCAGGAGGAGAGGGCAGAGAGACACGCTGTGGAGCAGTGGAAGGACGCAGTGTCATAGAGTGAGTGCCAGGGACAGGAGGAGGACGCGGACGCAAAACACGACCAGCGCGAGCAGTGCGGACAGGCGACGCAGCACGAGACACAGGCGACACTGGACGCGACTCAGGCTCACGACGCTCCGTAAGACCTCTAGTCGGTCCAGAGTAAGGAGAAGGACCAGGCAGTGGAGAGGACGGCTGTAACTGCGACTGTGACTGGACAGGCGGTGGACTCAGTAACGGAGGAGTAGGACCAGGAGAAGGCGGTAGACCAAGAACCTGCTGAAGGAGCGGAACGTAGTACAGTCGCGGCCGCGCAGCGCCTCCGGAAACAGCAGAGACAGCACCAGTACCGCCTCCAGCAGCTCCAGCAGCACCAGTACCAGCAGCACCTCCAGGAGCTCCAGCACCAGCAGCACCTCCAGCAGCTCCAGCACCAGCAGCACCTCCAGCAGCACCAGCACCAGCAGCACCGCTTGTAGCTCCAGCACCAGCAGCACCTCCAGTAGCCCCAGCACCAGCAGCACCTCCAGCAGCTCCAGTACCAGCAGCACCTCCAGCAGCTCCTGCACCAGCAGCACCTCCAGCAGCACCAGCACCAGTAGCACCGCCAGTAGCCCCAGCACCAGCAGCACCTCCAGCAGCTCCAGCACCAGCAGCACCTCCAGCAGCTCTAGCACCAGCAGCACCTCCAGCAGTTCCAGCACCAGCAGCACCTCCAGCAGCTCCAGCACCAGCAGCACCTCCAGTAGCCCCAGCACCAGCAGCACCTCCAGCAGCTCCAGTACCAGCAGCACCTCCAGCAGCTCCTGCACCAGCAGCACCTCCAGCAGCACCAGCACCAGTAGCACCGCCAGTAGCCCCAGCACAAGCAGCACCTCCAGCAGCTCCAGCACCAGCAGCACCTCCAGCAGCTCTAGCACCAGCAGCACCTCCAGCAGTTCCAGCACCAGCAGCACCTCCAGCAGCTCCAGCACCAGCAGCACCTCCAGCAGCACCAGCACCAGCAGCTCCAGTACAGCCAGTACGAACGCCTCCAGGACCAGCGGCTCCAGCACCAGGAGCACTAGTAGCACGGCGACAGCGTCGAGCGTACCACTCACGAAGCCGCTGCGGAGAGAGGGGCTCCCGCCGCAACGGGACACCCGGAGAACCTCCAGACTCAGCACACGCAGGCTCAGCACACCAAGACGCAGCACCCCCAGAGTCAGCACCCCCAGGCTCAGCACCCCCAGGCTCAGCACCCCCAGTCCCCGCACCCGCAGGCGCAGCACCCCTAGCAGCACCTGAGTCGACAGCTACCTCGACCGGCTCGGCAGGGTCTACCTGAGACACACCTGAGGGGGCAGGACCCTGAGGGGGGAGGGGGTCTACAGGAGGAGTACCTGGTACCAGGAAGAGTGGCGGTGGGGGGAGAGAGGCAGCGCGGTAGGGAAAGAGACGGTAGTAAGACACCGACTCGTCAAACGTGACGTCTTGAGAGGACAGAACACGACGCGAGGTGGGGTGGTAGAACTGCCACCCGGGTGCGTGGGGAAGCCAAGGAAGACACAGGGAACGGCACGGGAGGACAGCTTGTCCGCTGAAGTATCGCGGACAAAAGCTCGAGATCCCCAGACACGGAACGCATACGCATCACCAACCTTCCCTGTCCACCTCAGAGCAGGTGTGGTCTCCGGCAAGGAGACACGAGGCTGAAGGTTGATCTGATGCGCAGCGTACTGAACCGCGAATGGCCACAGAAAATGTGGAGCAGCCGCATGGATCATGGACGTACGAGCAACGTCCATGACCATGCCAATGCGGCGCTCAGCAATCCCATTTTGCTGTGGGGAGGCCGGAAGCGTGAACGTCTGGCGGATGCCCTCCTCACGACAGAAGGCCCTCAGGAGGTCGGAGGAAAACTCACCACCTCTGTCTGAGTGCAGACGCAGAACAGGGAGGTCCGAGCCGAAACTCTCACTGAGCTGACGACGAGCACCGCGGATCCAGTCGATCAACACCTCAGAGACCTCACCCTTGCTGCGCAAGGGGAAGACTGTGGTGTAACGCGAGTAGTCGTCAACGACCAGCAGGAAGTAACGCTCGTGACCCTGGCCACGGACGCGGGCTGGGCCCCACACGTCCATGTGAAGAGTCTGCAGAGGAGCCTCAGTCGGAGGGAACGTGGAGGAGTGAGGAGCAGCGCGCTGCCGGCCCTCGACACAAGGAACACAGGTAGGGGCAGGCCCCGGAGGAAGGGGAGGGAGAGACCGGGGTAGACCCGAGACAAGGGCACGGGAGGCCATACCTCGAAGACGAGGCAGGGAGGGGTGACCAAGGCGGTGGTGCCAAAGGAGAGTCTCGTGGGACAGAGGACGACACGAGCAGGGGGCAGACTCAGGACTAGACCTAGACGCGGCAGCAAACACCTGACTAGACGCAGCTACCTGACCAGACGCAGAGACCGGAGGAGACGCAGTAGTCAGTGTGTACAGACTCGACCCTGGCCGACGGGTGAACGTGGCCAGGTGGCGGCCCGTCCGAGAGCAAGTGCAGTGGGTCACACGTTGACCTCCAGGAGCGAACTGGTCAACCCATGCGTCCTGGAGGTCAGCTCCACTCACCAAGTTCGTAGAGAACGAGGGGACGTGGAGTCCCGACAACAAGCCCGACGGGGCCGCAGGACACGGTAGAACTGTGGAAGAGTGTGCAAGGACTGGGCCCCAAGAGGGGTCAGCAAGGGAGACTGCGATAGGCTGACTGAGCGGCGTGAGTGTGGTGCTGTCTCTAAAGAAAGAGCGCGAAGCACCAGAGTCAAGTGTGAAAGTGTGCAAGGCCTCAGTAGGTGCAGTACGAGAGAGAGCAGACGTACCAGCACCTGGAGCAGCAAACGCACTAGCACCTAGAGCAGCAGCCGCAATGCCCGGGTCGGGTGGGACACTCAGGTAACAGTCACCCTCAGCACTATCAGCAAAAGCATACATGGCAGCAAGGATAGCATCGAAATCAAGATCAAAGATAGGCACATTCTGCAGGAGCAGATCATGCAAGCGAGAGAGCTCAACAGCGTCAGGAAACTGGGCACGCCAGGCGTCAGTCAAGCGACCGAAGCAGCGCTGCGTAGTGTGTGGCAGCCCACACGTCTCCCCACGACGACTGCCGGTGCGAATAACGTAAGCGCAGGGACCAGCACCTCCAGACCTCCCACGCCCAGCGTACCACTCACGAAGCTGCGGGGCCGACGGGGTATCACGGGAGCGCGGCTGCTGCTGGCGCTGGCTACCACCAAAGCCTCCACGCTGCGCGGCTACATCTCGACCAGCACCAACGCCGCCGCCGCCTCCACCACCGCTGCCGCTGCCTCCACCACCTCCGCCGCTGCCTCCACCACCTCCACCGCCGCCACTGAAGCCCCCACTCCCGGTACCACCCCCACCACCAGCGCCACCCCCTTCGCCTCCTCCAGCTCCTCCACCGCCTCCCCCGCCGCCCCCTTCACCACCCTTTCTCCCCTTGCCCTTGCTGTTGCGGCGTCTCCCACTAGGGGCAGACGCAGCTCCGACCTCCTCAGTGCCAACGAGGTCAACAGCAGCAGCAGAAGCAATAGAGGGGAGAAGGGGAACAGGGGAACACCCCTCAAAGAAAGGGGTGCGACGGTCGCCGCGAGAAGCACCTACAGCTAAGATACTCTTCTCAGCTGCAGTAAGGCGCTCCTCTAGCAAGTCGACAGTCAGCTCGGTGGGGCAAAGGGAGAGAAAGTGGTCCCTGACTGAAGAAAGGGAGTTAGGGAGGCGGGTGACTAGGTAGTAAAGGGTGATGTACATGGGGGGGGGGGTTCTTGGCACAGAACTCAGTGGGAAGGGCAGCTCGGTAGCGGGCGTCACTAGTGCGAAGGTGAGCAACTAGGTCAGCAACTGTGGCAAAGGCGGCAAGGTCAGGGAAAAGGTACGGCAGCATGAGGCGGCTGAGGGCAGCAGTGGCAGGGGAGGAGTAGCGTGCAACTACAGCGTCGTACAAAGACTGAGCAGTCTTGTACTGGCCAAAATGCGCACGCTCAGCAGGCGGCAGGTGACTACGAACAGCAAGACGAGCAACAGCGTCACGAGTGGTCCACTTCGAGCGAACCGTACTGTCAGCAGTGGCAGCAAGAGCAGTAGAAACACCGGACGTGTGATCGAAAAGGGATACCCCATCCCTAGAATCACACTGAAGAAAGAGCTGTAGGTCGTCAACCCACACGTCAAAGTCAACTGCACGTCCCTCAGCATCAAAGGTGAGAACAGTAGGACTAGCCATAGCAGCAGTAGGAGCAGCAGCAAGAGTAGCAGCAGTAGCAGCAATAGCAGCAGAGGCAGGAGGGCAGTGCAGGGCAGTGCGGCTCGGTAGAGCGGCGCGGCTCAGTGGGCAGCGCGGCTCGGCTGGGCGGCACGGCTCGGCTGGGCGGCGCGGCTCGGCTTGGCGGCACGGCTCAGCTGGGCGGCGCGGCTCGGCTTACCAGAGACGGGTGCAGGGGCGGGCCGTGACAACAGGGACCGCGCGAGAAGAGGCCGCGCCAGCAGGGGCCGGCAGGGGCGCGTCAGCAGGGGCCGGCAGGGGCGCGTCAGCAGGGGCGCGTCAGCAGGGGCCGGGCCAGTAGGGGTCACGCCAGCAGGGGCCGGCAGGGGCGCGCCAGCAGGGGCGTGTCAGCAGGGGCCGACAGGGGCGCGTCAGCAGAGGCCGGCAGGGGCGCGCCAGCAGGGGCCGGCAGGGGCGCGTCAGCAGGGGCCGGCAGGGTCGCGCCAGCAGGGGCCGGCAGGGCGGCTAAGGGGCCGTGACGGGCGGCGAAGGGGCCGACGGGTGGCTAAGGGGCCGCGACGGGCGGCTAAGGGGCCGACGGGCGGCGAAGGGGCCGTGACGGGCGGCTAAGGGGCCGACTACAGGCGGCTAAGGGGCCGCGTCGGGCGGCTAAGGGGCCGACGGGCGGCTAAGGGGCCGACGGGTGGCGAAGGGGCCGTGACGGGCGGCTGAGGGGCCGACGACGGGCGGCTAAGGGGCCGACTACGGGCGGCTAAGGGGCCGACGGGCGGCTAAGGGGCCGCGACGGGCAGCTAAGGGGCCGACGGGCGGCTAAGGGGCCGGCGGGCGGCGAAGGGGCCGACGACGGGCGGCTAAGGGGCCGCGACGGGCGGCTAAGGGGCCGATGGGCGGCTAAGGGGCCGCGACGGGCGGCTAAGGGGCCGACGGGCGACTAAGGGGCCGGCGGGCGGCGAAGGGGCCGTGACGGGCGGCTAAGGGGCCGACCACGGGCGGCTAAGGGGCCGCGACGGGCGGCTTAAGGGGCCGTGACGGGCGGCGGAAGGGGCCGACGGGCGGCTAAGGGGCCGCAACGCGCGCTTCGGGCAGGGCAGGAGAAAATTTCGTGGTGGGCCCTAAAAAAAAAACGTTCCCACTAGGGAACCTGCTCAGAATACCATGTTAGAATAAGGAACGGGATGAATGAACTAGAAAGCAGGTGGGTACAAGTAGCAAACCTAAAAGTGTTGTACCCTATAAGAACTACCCCACTACAGCCTAAACAGACTATAGCATATATAAGTTTGACACACCCCCATAGGCAAAGTGGGGGAGAACAAGGGGTCACAAGACCAGACAAGAAGGCAAAGCAAGCTCAGGGTGGATCACAAAGTCACCACGTAGTCTGAGCACAAGCAAAGGGCCACAAGGCCAGTTCACATGCAGAGTTATATAAAGGAAAGCAAACAATACAGTGAACACAACCTAGCAAGTGTAAGCATGCAGGTATAAGTATATAGAGTACAGTACAAGCAGAGTCAAGAAGTCAGCAAGTGAGGCACAGTAGGTACAAGGCCTAGAACAGTGCAGAAACGCTGATGATCACAAGGCTGAAGTGCCTTGGTGAAAACATCAGCAGTGTTGGCCTGAGAGGCCACGTAAGCAAGACGAAGCTGGCCACGCTGCTGCAGCTCTCGAGCAAGGAAGTAGCGCAGAGCAATGTGCTTCGTTCTGTGCTCCAGTCTGTGCTCCTGACACAAGGCCAGCATGGCCTTGTTGTCGACGTACAGAACTGGAGGAGAACGAGGCGCCTCTCCCAAGTCGGTCAGCAGGTAGGTGAGCCAGCGTAGCTCCTGTGCAGCCATGGCCCCAGCGTAGATCTCAGCCTCACAACAGGAGCTGAGAACAGAAGAAGAACGGGTAGACCGCCAAGAGACAGAACTGGAGCCAAGACTGAAGGTGTAACCCTGTGACGACCGCTGCGTAGCCAAGTCGTCAACCCAGGAGGAGTCAGCGTGACCAATGAGGACAACTCGAGCCCGTCCTCCAAGCACAAGCCCCATGCCCGATGTACTGCACAAGTATCGCAACACCCTCTTCGCAGCATCTTAGTGCACCTTTCGGTGCCTGCCGGGAGCCACGTAGCGAGCCAGAAGGCTGAGAGGGTATGCGAGGTCAGGTCGTGTGCAAGTCATCAGGTACATGAGGCAGCCCACAAGCTCTGGATACGGGCCACTCGGCTCTACGGACTCGTCCGAAGGTGGAGCTGAGAGCGAGTGACCGGTAGGCAGAGGAGTGGACTGTGGCGAGGAGTACGTGAAGCCGAAGCGCTGAAGGACCTGATGCACCATGTGTGACTGAGTCAAGGTAATGGTG